AGCTATCCGACCTGTCCTTGCCACGCCCTGGCTGCTCCTCTCAGCCCAGAGCAGCAGAACCCTCTCTGGTCACCTCCAGCTGAGCCCCGCACCACACGCTTCTCAGAGCCCCTGAAAACCACCTTCTGCTGGCCCGGACCTCCTCTCCTCCCGCTCTCCGGGCTTCGTCCTCCTCCTCTGGGAATGGGAACAATGGCAGTACACATCCCACTGGGTCATGCGGGAATGTATGGGAAGCAGTTGGCACCGGGCATACAACAAGCACACAATGAGCCCATCAATGCTGGCAGCTACAATTGTTATTACTGTGTGTTCTTCCTGCCTTTTTAAAACTGCCCAGTGCTCAGGGATCTCCATGATGCTGCACTCTGGGGTTTTTCCTGCACCCGGTCTGCTGGCTCCTTCTGGGGCTCTCTCCTGCCACCTGTCCCACCAATGCCCGGGTTCATCCTGGGTGTCTTCGTTGCACTGCTTGGCTTCAGTTCCCCAATTATTGGGAGTGACCAGGGGCCCAGATTTCCTGGGGTCAGTCCTGACTTAAAACCTTCTGTCCATTTTCCCTGTAAGGTCACTAGCCAGACTTTGGTCCTTACCTTTGGCTCAGGAAATGTGATGGAACGTCTGTGTGCTCAAGCATGTAGACATCAGGCTACCTCCTGGACGTGCCCCCGGATGTTCCCTGGGCACCTCGGAGTCAGCAAGGCTAGATTCTGCAACTTCTTCCCAAGTTCTCTTTCCCTCTGATGGCCTGCTCAGTCAATGGAGCCACTTCACTGGCTGCCACCCCAAACAGAAAAGTGGGAGACAGAGGACACTCCCCTGTCCCCACCCCGTCCTCGCCCCAACCAGGTACCAAATCCCATGTTCCATCTCCCAAACCTTGCCCCAGATGAGGGCTTTCGCCCTATGCCCGCCCTTACACACCCTTCACAGCTCCCATGGGTGGCTCTGAGCCCTTCCCCCCAGGCCCCCTCCTCCAGGCAGCCTACAGGCTCTCAGCTAGCCCTGCTCCTCTCTCTTCTCCACTTAAGGCACTGCCTGTCCCTTCCCAGATGGGAAGCCCCTGAGGGCAGGTCCCTGCATGACTCACCACTTACCCTGGTCTGGCCTAAGCCTAAGCAGAGAGAGGAACTCAGGTAAGTCTTTGTGACCTTGAGTCACCGGGCCCAACCTCTCACATATGAGCAAACTGCGGCCAAGGAGGAGAGAGGACAGCTCATGGTGACAGCAGAAGGAGGCAGACCTGGGTCTAGAACTAAGGTCTCTGGGTCCAGCTGATGCTCCCCAGAAGGAGATGGGGACCCTGGGGCTGTGCCAGGTCCCCATTCCCTAGGGTGTACCCTAGGACCTAGTCATTCTCTCATGTCGCTTCCTGTCTCAAGATCTTAACATGTGCTGGTCCCTCCACTAGGAAGGCTCATCCCGCCACCTCCGGCTAGATAATGTCCGATTGCACTGCACCTGGCATCTAATCTGATCCTCACCACAGGGCCTCAGGGCCTCAGAGCCTCAAAGTGTCCCCCCAGCCTCCTTTATGGGCCATGATACTCTTACGCCCTCCCCCCACCGCCAGCCCTGCGCTGTGTCTCTCCAGAGGCCCCAGATTTCCTGGGGAAAACTCATCCCCTGCTGTCTGAGCCTTGCCGGGGCCAAGAGCATCAGGCCAGGCCAGGGTCTGAGCCCTCACCAGGAGAACTGGGACAGACTGAGGGGCCTCTGGTCTCTGTAGCCTCCCTTCCTCTGTCCATCCCGGAGTCACCCTGTCCTTCCCATTCCCCCTTTCCCTATCACTGCATCCTGGCAAAAGTCCACACCTCGCAGGTTCTGACCACTGCGGCCCAGCCTCAGTGGCTCACTGAGGCATACACACAGACACAAAGGAGCCACTCTTGAATCCACATACTCGTAGATGTTCTCTCACACAGCCACATACACTCATAGTTCACACCCAATCACAGTCAGACACAGTCACCAACAGTCTCAAGGAAGGACAGGCACGCACCCCACCCAGAAAGTCTCAGAGTCACCAGGAGTCACCAGGGCTCTCTCTCACCCTTGTATACACAGCCAAATAAACACGCAGATTCACAACCACAAACGTACATACCTGGTCACACAGTTACAAAGTGTCACACTCACAGGCACAGAGCAATACACAATCACACACAGAGAGAAACAGACACACACAGTTGCGCACAGGCTCCCGGAGACGCAGAACAATGGGCGCATTGTCTGGGTTGGCAGCAGCTGGGAGGAAGGAGCCACAGTGTGGACGGAGGAGGCTGTGGGGGCTGCTGCCCCCTCCCACTCCCACCCCAACCGTCCCAAGCCTCTGCCCTCTTCCAGAAGTTAGATTCTGCTGGGCCTGGCCTTGCTGCAGGCTCAGGCTCCCAGGCCCCCAGGCCCCCTCTGCAGCCTCCTGGGGTGTCTGGTGGGGATGCAGGATCTTGCCTGAGGGCCAGGCTCCCTCTGGAGCTCTGGGGACTTGGGGTCTTTTAGCCCTGATGCTCCTCCCTCCTGGGATCCTTGGGGAGACTTGCCTTTCACCCCATAAGGCAGCGCCTGGGGATCAGGAGCCTTAGGATCTTAACCTCTGACCCCAACCCCTCCAGGACTCACACACTCTCCATCTGAGCCTTGCCAGCTGGTGCGGGCAGCGCCTGGCAGCATTGTGGGTTCTCTATTGTAGTGGAGACAGAGAACAGGTCACGACGTCCGTCCCTTAGTAGCAAGGGAGGGAAGAGTCACTGTACTGTTAGTGAGTTGCAGGGGGGGCATAGTGCCTCTCCCTGGGTGCCATGTTCCCCCCACTGTAGGGACACAATGGGGACATGGTGCCTCCCCCATCCCAAAGTTAGCTCTTGCCTTCCACTCTGAGCAGGCAGCCCCAGATCTCAAGAGGAAATTCTTCCAGGGATTTCCTTATAGCACTCAGCCCTTTTTTTTTTGAGACAGGGTCTCTCTCACTCCATTGCCCAGGCTAGAGTGCAGTGGCACCATCACAGCTCAGAACTCCTGGGCTCTAGCAGTCCTCCTGCCTCAGCCTGCCAAGTAGCTGGGACTACAGGCATGCACCACCACACCTGGCTAATTTACAAATTTTTTTTTTTGCAAAGACCAGGGTCTCACTATGTTGCCCGGGCTGGTCTTGAACTCCTGGGCTCAAGCAATCCTGCTTCGGCCTCCTAAAGTGTTGGGATTTACAGGCCAGGGCCACTGAGACCAGCCCGCCCAGCCCATTTTATCAGACCTCTCCAAATCCTCTCTCACCCTGAGCTGTTGGTAGCTGCTATGTACCGTTGCGCATGTCAGTTTCCTTTTCTGAACCTCAGTGTCCCAGTCTGTAAAATGGGGGGGAGGGATGGTGCTAGTGGAGCTGAGAGTATTCAGTAGCCTCAGAGTGGGTGTAGGCACAGAGGATACAGGAGCCTATACAGAATGTAGATGCCACCTCAGCCCTCCCGAGCTCCTCTGGCGTCAGATCTGTGGGGAGTTCCCAATTTCTCAGGCCCTGGGGTGTCTCCACACTTCACAGCCTCAGGCCTCCCAGGAGGCCTTACTTGTAGGAGGGAGGGTGAGAGGGAGGGACTTGCTGAGCTGGACCGGACACAGCTTTGCTTTTGCAACACTCTGCTTCTTCCAGCCCCCATCCCTTTCCTTCTGGGGGTTGAGGGCAGGCAACAGGACACACACATCCGGGGCAGGCAGGACTCTGGGTTCCCACCAGCCTACAAGGCCAGCAGAAGAAGTGGCAGAGGACCAGAGCTAGAGAGTCTCTGGCCACCGGCATCCTGCCTCCAGGCTCCCTTGCTCTCAGGCAGGGTGGGAGGCTGGGCTGAGCAGCCTTGGGAGCTGTCCTGAAGGGGCTGTCCCATCCCTCCCCTGCGGAAACTGGAGCCTTCTGAGGTTAGTTCAGCCCCTGGCTGGAGGTCCCCTGCCTGTATGGGGAGCTCTGATGCAGGGGAGCAGATCCGTGGGGGGGTAGGGGAAGCAGCAGACTCAAGTCAGTCAGGTTGTGTCAACGCCTCTTAGCCTCAGGGAACTCAGCTTTCAAACAGAGACGGAGATGCCCTTCAAGGTCACAGAACCCCCCAGGCGGGACTTCGTAATGTGTCCAGGCTGAGGGCAGGAGGGCCTGGAGGTGCATTTGTCTGTCCAGGCTCAGAATGACTGGCCACCAAGGGACTGAGAGGAGGAATGAGGGACCGGCCTCACCAGTCAGACCGGAGTGACCCCGAGGCGGGTCAGACCCCCAGGCTGGC